GCGAGCTTGACGAAGCGGTGGAAGAAGGCGCGTCTAACAGGATGTCCTCGACGTCAATGCAGTCAATGAACCGACGCGAATTTGAGAACATGTTGGGGGGGAACCCATCGATAGTGGCGATAAGACAGTACACGATAGCGGCACGCTGCGTATGCTCATCTGCTTCTGCAAGAGCTATCTTGCTTGCAATTTCATCAGCCTCTTCTAGTTTCACTCTTTGCGGGTCGCCAGGTGGCATATTCTTGATCATAAGTCGAAAAAGCAAGGTATAGCGAGGTATCCGCTGCACAGGCTCCATTAAGAGTTCACGCAGACCTATGCGATTCCTTGCATCGGTCGCTTGATATTTGACATGCTACGATGGTAGTTAGCAAGCGCGATAGAATGGCGATATAACCGTACATCGATATAAGCCGCAAATGCAGACGAACGCTTCGCAACTTCACGTTCGAAGATACTCTGAGCTTCCTCTCTCTTCACATAGTACTGCTTATACAGCTCAAACCCCCTCAAGTCCTTGAAGTGCCTTAGAGCCACATCACCGATTCCACCGACCGTTCTATTCCCATTCGGAGCCATCATCTTCTCCAGATCGGTCAAAAAGGCCTCGTTGACTGGCAAGAGGTTGTCCAGATTGCCGAAGAGCGTCTTTGCCTCATATATTGGGATTATGACAGTATTTTTGCTTTTAGCAAACTTACGTATCGGATCGGCGTAGTCTTTCTGTAGTATTTGTAGCTTCTTCACGTAGGAGCGTTCCGTAGTAACGAGCTCTTCGATTGCAGATGCAAGAGCGGAAGATTCCGTAAGTGCGCGCTTTCTGGTATGTGGCTGGTCCTGAGTTTTGATAGTCAGATGCTGAGGAAGTTTACTCATGAGCGCACTTACAGTTTTACTTGGAGCAGCATTCAAGACTTTGGGAAGCAGACCATCGTCGTCTGTTCCTACAACGTCTCCGAGAGAGAGGACCAAATCTTTGATTTCTGTTTTGGATTTCGTTGACAAAGTTACAAGAAGACCATACAGAGTACGTACCTTCTGATAGTTCCTTCCCATTCTCTGAGCCTTCTACAACAACTCCACAAAAGAAAACACGCTTGGTGGTGCTTAAAGCCAAAGTAAAATCTCGGGGCCTAGTTTCGTCTCCGGTGGCCAGAGGAACTTGTTTGCGGGGTGAGTTGGCTAGAGCCATGCAGTATAAGTTTCAGGTAAAGGAGGATGTCGGAAAAATGCTAGCAATGTCTTGAGTTCAACATTCAAGTTTCGAGGTCAAAGTTAAGAATCAACGTGAATCGCGGCCCCGTGACCCTAACGTCACACGCTCGCCGCTTTAGCCTTTGTACCAACTTTGTACGTTACGACTCACCACATCTTTGAGAAACCTTTTGCCTCTTTTCTGTAGCGATATGAACTCCTTGAAGATTGTAAGTAAATAGTCCTCTTTCCGCCAAGATTTTCACTAATACTGTACCATAGGCGAAACCCTGCAGTGCAAGACCAGAAACGCCATCGGCTACATCGCTTAATGCCTCGCCCTTTGCTGACGATCTTGCATTCTGCGACCTTCATATAGGCTCTATTTGTGACATAGATCTGAACAACACGCCGCTCCTTCGAACTCCTCTTCGTCCAGGCTCGCCTTTGGTTTTATCTCCAGACAATATAGATTTGTCGGCTTTTCCAATGTTTGATGCGGAAATAGGCCCTACCGCCAACTCTAGTGTCTCCTTGCATCCTTTATTCTCAAGGGCAAAACTGCGCGACCGTGAAAACATGATCTCGCCCACGGCGCTACCTGCAGACGATATGTATGACATCTTGCTATCTCCCATCGCGAAACGAAAAACCTCAAATGTCTCTCGCACGAGTACCTGTCGCCCGCCGAAGATAGTCAAGAAGAACGAGGGCTTGACTTCGATACCGGAAGCATCATCACAGCTGGAACCATGTTCTCCGTGTTTGCCTCGTCAGTCGCAACGCTGCCCTCTCAGGCTTCACAATCGGTCGACCGTTTCCAATGCAATCGATTATCAAGTCGACGAGCTATCGAATTCTTTTCATCCATGTCCTTACGATAGCTATGACCACAACAAATCTAGCAGGCCGACATTGGTTCCAGGTTTCATTCAAAGTCTTCCACCGTTCAGGCTTCCTACGACTCCTTTGGCAGCTCCTATAGTCATCTCTCCCGCCACTCCTTCACGATGCACAACTCTGCTCAGGTCTCCGTTCCTGATTCAAAAGAAAGAAAGAGGACACTCGAGTGAGATGGACATCTGATGCGGAATATTGCACTCCAGTCATGCAGTTTTTCTCCCTTAACACGTTCTTCCCTACTCATCACCTGTTCTCCGCTTGAAACTCTCATTTTGTACCTTGTATTCCTTGTAATTACCCCCGCACTTATCGTCTACGGTCTGCGTCGTCGCAGCTTGGCGGCCCTTGAGGTGACCTTTTTTCTTTTAGTCCTTCTACCGGTTTTGTAACATTGATTCTTATCACCTGCGGAATGCGGATCTAAGCAATCTCCAAGTCATACGCTCACCTTCTCAGTTATCTGAATAGGATGAGCCAGTTCGATTGTTGTGATTTTGCCACTAAGGTCGAGTAAGAGTTCTTTTAGTGACGAACATAGGGAATATAACCACATGAAAGCTAAGCAAAGCTGGTTATCGAGATCACCGAGGTCTAGATTAAACCAATGACATTGACTAGGGATATGGAGGAAGGTGATGAAAACGATCATTTGACATTTAACTAAATTTAAGTGGAAAGCCAAGAGAGCGCCCACGTGATTGTGAAAAATCAACCAAACGCGAACTGTTTGAACTTGCTTTGAACTCAGCTTTGACCTCTGTACTTCTTTGCACTTGTTCTGCCATTTCCTATCCCCTGCAGGTACAAAAGCTCTATCCTAATCTATTACAAAATGTCGCCAGTCACCCTCGACTTGGACGCGAGCAAAGCCGATTTTTCAACTAGACGCTCCCTCAGTGATCTGTCCCTCGCCGTCGCGAAATGCAAGAAAATTGTTGTTGTAACAGGAGCAGGAATATCATGTTCATCAGGAATTCCTGTGTGTCTTTTTGTTCTCAGTCTAAACGGTCTTTCTAACATTATACCAGGACTTTCGTTCCTCAGATGGACTATACAACCTCGTAAAATCTCAATTTCCAGATGTCGTTCTCAAAGGACGCGACCTTTTCGACGCTTCTTTGTTTCGCGATCCTACATCTACCGCTGTATTCTATACATTCATATCCCAGCTAAAACAAACAATCGACCAGGCTATACCTACACCAACACACGACTTCATAAAGATCCTCGAAGACAGAGGCAAACTGCTTCGGTCATATACTCAGAATATCGATGGTTTAGAAGAAAGAGTGGGGCTGGTTGGGAACGCAGGGAGTTCAAGCAAAGGCAAGACAAAAGGAAAGGGCCCTGCATTGAAACAATGTCGAAACGTTCAGTTACACGGAGACATCCACCGTGTCCGTTGTCAGGCTTGTTCCGCGGAATTCCCTTGCACTGAAGCCCACCTCGAGCTCTTTAGCAAAGGTGTCTCTCCCGACTGCCCGGAATGTCTTCAGCGTTGTACGTCACTCTCTTCTCAAGCATAACCTTTGTTAATCCGTGTTATCTCCAGCTAATGCACGTGTCGCACGTTCTGCTCGTGCACTTCGCGTTGGCTCTCTCCGACCCGCAATCGTTCTTTACGACGAACCTCACCCCCTTGGCGATGATATTGGTGTGGTCCAAGGCTGCGACCTTGCTCGCAAACCTGACATGTTGATTATCATGGGCACTAGCCTCAAAGTACATGGGCTCAAAAAACTTGTGAAAGAATTCGCCAAGGTGGTACATTCTCACAAGTCGTCTGGTTCCCCACAGGCCTCGACATCCTCGCCCCACAAAGCTTCGAAAGCTTCGTCGGCAAATGCTTTCGCTGGAAAGGTTGTATTCGTCAACAAGACTCCTCCTGGCGCCGAGTGGGCAGATGTGATTGATTACCACGTTGAGGGTGCAACGGACGATTGGACACGGCGTGTAGTAGAAGAGTGGAAGAAAATGCGCCCTACTGACTGGGAGGTGCAACAGACACTTACTGGCGGCCTGGGTTTGTTCAAAGCGACGAAAGAGGCGCACCCCGAGGCTCAAATGGCTGTCAAGGCCAGCGATAAAGAAAACTATAAAGCAGCTAAAGGTAGGTTCCTTTTTAGTTCAGGATTGATAATCTCTGACCTTCCCTTCACAGATGCAAAGAAGAAAGCGTTATCAAGAGCTAAGGATGTGCCTGCTTCTCAGTCTTCAAAACCAGATGCCATGGTCTTAAGCACACCAGATGCCCATCGCTTGTTACAAACCAAACCCATCTCCGACTCTCCTATGCACATGATCATCAGTCCCGCGCCAATCTCACCTAGCAAGCGAATGCGCACACAGTCACAGTCCCATTACAGTTCCGAGGCCCAAGCAGCATTGGAAGCTAGTCCATCGAAACGCCGTGTCAAACACATCCCCGTTTCAGACTCTGAATGTCCTGAACCTGTGGAGAGAATCCTCTTTGCAGAGAAAACTGGGAACAGGAAGCTCGCTGTTATTGGTAACGATATGAATGGAGAGGAAGATGATAACGAGGTTGACTTTATGATGGGATCTCCTCCTCCAAAAGCGAAACTCGCTTCCCGTTCTAAGCTCCGAGTGGAATCCAAGCCGTTACCCAAGTCCCGGGCGGGGGCGAGGAGAGTGGCCCGAGCGCATGGTGTTACAGTAGATAGGGATGTGTTTGCCGCGTAGACTGTACAGAACGTGCTCTTCATGATTCAGAGTCTTGTTACTGCTAGATGAAGCCGTAGTCTCCGAATCCTTTATTCTTAAGATTATACTGGCGATTTTGTAGTTATTTTCACAATGCATGTAGGTTATAACAACCATATTATAGCTTCTTGAAGGTTCCAGTTTTGAGTGTATGGAAAAAGAACAAAAAAATCTCACTCTGTCCCTGGCAGGAGTCGAGCCTGCGTCTCCACGGATTGTTACGCATTTGCCACAACGTGATGATCTAACCACTAATCGACGGGGACATGTTTAATGTTTGTATGCTCAATGCTATATCGTGTTTCTATAAACTCAAGTATGCCATATAAATATTTAAATCCTCACTCTTTGAACTTGGTGAATGTTCTTGACCAGGACGAAGCTAACATGGATTCCAAAGTCCCCTCATAGTTTAATCCGCTCTTTTTATCGACATGCCCCTCGCTCCAAGCCTCTGGTGAGTATTACATAGCTTTCGAGTCATATGAGAATCCAACCCTTTTTTGTCTTGTGCTAGGATCTACGACAAGATACCATGTCGGAATCTCCAGAACACAAAGCTCCAGAACGCAGCCCTATCCACTCAAGCCCTATTACTGTCACATTTCTCGGAACCGCTTCAGCTATGCCTTCTTCAACGCGAAACCATTCATCTCTAGCGGTTCGACTCGGTAGCGATGTCTGGCTCTTTGATTGTGGTGAAGGTACGCAGCATCGGGTGCAGAAGAGTGGTGTCAAGATGGGTAAGATCGAAAAAGTTTTTATCACTCATACACATGGTCAGTTGGCTTCGCTAGATTCCCTAGAAGATAACATGTAACTCTTGTTCTAGGCGATCATATATTTGGCCTAATACCCTTAATGGCTGGCTGTCTTAATGGGGGTGGAGGCACTGCAGATGATGTTGAAGATCCCAGAAAAAAAATCAACCTCGATGAGCCGGTGAGTTGAATGCTGGCAGCTCCGCGTACTCGAGTTCTGACACGCGAAATAACAAGCCTTTCGAAATTTACGGGCCTTTGGGTACTCGAGCGTATGTCAGAAGTGCTCTCACATACACCCATACCCTTTTAGGCCGTCCATACGTGGTACACGAGCTACGTTTTCCTTCCGAACCTCGATGGGGCGACTGTACTTCGCTACCTCGCCTTCGATACGAGTCTCGTGGGAGGAACATCACTCAGGTCGACGGCGTGTGGGACGTGTACAAGGACAATGTGATCTCAGTCTGCGCCGCGCCCATATTTCATTCCGTTCCTTGCGTCGGGTACACATTAACGGAGGCCCAGGTTCCAAGCAAGATTGATCCACAAAAGTACATTCCACATATTAAGCGTACCAAAACGCCCTTGTCTGCTATGAGTTTGTTGCAGGCCGGCGAATCTGTCACATTATCTGACGGTACCGTGCTACAAGGTCCTAGCCCCAGAAAAGGGCGCAAACTGGTAATTCTAGGCGATACTTACGACCCATCTCCCATAATACCTATTGCCCAAGATCCTGATCTACTCATCCATGAGGCAACAAATGCGCATCTTCCAGGAACTGTCTTAAATACTCGAGAAGATGATACGTACGAGAGCGTCCAGAGAACAGCCATGGAACGAGGCCACTCTACGCCACAAATGGCAGGAGCATTCGCGAAACGTATAGGTGCTTTGTCGCTTGCTCTCAATCACTTTTCGGCGAGATACCCTGGAGACGACGATGTAGACGAGGAAGCAAAAACGGTCATGGATGCTATAGGAAACCTGGCAGCGAATGAATTCGGCAAACCAGTGACTTGTGCCAGGGATTTAATGACTATTGATATAGGCTTTCGAGCGATAGAGTAGGCACGAAAAATAGATCATCATATCATATATCAGATTCTGGAGGCTCTGAAAGGTCGCTACTGGCATCTGTTGCCTCTCCCTCTTCCAGTTCTTCTCTCGCCTTTCTCGTTCGTGAACTCTTGGTATCTTCTTCAACCTCTCCCATTTCAATATCACCATTTACTTCTGGGTCGGTTGGCTTCTCTTCGCCATCTTCTTCTCCCTCTTCCCTTTCTTCGTCCTTTGACGGTGTATCTGTTTCCACAGTATGTTGTATGAGCTCGAGGTCGTCTGCGCTTTCGGAAGCCTCCAAAGCAGGCGTTCCTCTATTAGAAGGCACCGTCGACATCGTAGGATCTCCACCACTGAACCGTAGTGAACCCAAATCTGAGATAATGCCATCCAAAGCCATCTTCTGAGCTTGTATTGTACGAGTCTGAATTTCATGCTCGTCCCGAATGGTGATCATGTCGTTTTCTAAGCCTTCAATGGTCCTTTGGAAGAATTTATCAACGGATTTGCTCTGAAAATGGAAATAGACAGGTACTTTTCCAACTCTTCTCTACTAGGAAGCGTGTTCACTTTTTCAGCGATTTGGTCGTATTCCATCTTTCGCCGACGAGTTATCTGTGCTTCCTCTAGAGCTGTTTTGAGCTGTTCGATCTGTCCACGTAATATGTTGTGTTCGAGATCTACGTTGTTCAAGTTAAGACAGCTTGCATTACTGAACGGAAGTTCTACGAACCGATGCGATGTTTTTCTCTTTGATATTCCTCAACCTGCCGTGCCTCTGCTTCACAAATCATGGAACTTTTCTTGAGCAGCAACTGAAATGACGCTAGTTCGACAAGAAACGCCTCGCGTGCGTCTTCAACCGCTGGAGATCCATTCGTAGAAGCTGGTGGAACCAAAGGTGTATGCGCAACGTTTGCGTACTGGTGAAACCTTTTTATGACTCGTTTGAGAGGGCGTTCTTCATTGGTTATTCGTGCATGGACGATCTGTTCTACGAGATAGAACTACGTTAGTTGTTAGCTTATGAAAGTAAATAATATAACTTTGCTCACCTTCTTCCTCTGGTGTTAGTGGAGGAACAGTCACTAAGGCAGTACTATTGTTTCCATTCGAGGTCGGTTTCTCTGTGGTAGCTGGCATAAGAGCAAGTTTGAAGCGCCTAACGTCTAACTTCTGGGCGCTTACTCTTGCTGTATCCTTCAACGCGTAGGTGCAATGCTCATACTCTTTCTTTCAGATTGGAAATTTCACTATCATTGGATCGTCTTGGGATCGTCCGTAGCTATGAAGAGCTGAAAAAGACATTCTCGAATCATAAATCTGAAGCGGCTTGCCTCCGTAACCAGATCGTAGGTATTCAATCGCAGCTACACCAACTGAAGAACCATAGGGCAAAGATTTTTTGCTTCTTACGCTCCCCTGTACGCAATAGTGTGACGCGTCCCGTTTAGCAACCTTCGCATCTTCAGCAAGCACACCTGCGAATAAATCTTCTACTGTTACGCTAGCGCTCCTATCTCATGGCAAGCAATTTAGTATGCTCCCATTCACTTGCGCTATCGTGGTCCAATTTGTGGGCTAATATAACGGTGGGGCTGACCATGGACCGAGCAAAACTCCTGCCTAGCTCCATCTCTAATATCAATCTCTACTTGGAGAAATTCAGAGATGCTCGAAATGTGGATCCAGACATCCTCAACGTTGGTGTGCTCACAGAACACGACGGCGCATCTACGATGTCTGTTCGCACTGCAGAGCCTCCGACCTTGTGATCCCACATCACCTGCCCCAGTTTGCAGATCATCCTTTTAATACTTTACATCGAAATCTTGCAACATTACTCGCTTTTCTCGAGTTCGTTTCGATAGAAATCGTCGAACTTGTATCAGACTTTTTGCAAATAAGGATCACTGGAAACACGAATCTGCGCTCAAGCCCAAACGATCAGCAAGTAGTTATGCATTCATCAGACATGAAGGCAATGTCTTACGCTTGCTCACACCAGCTCATGGTATTCCAGAAGTAACAGAATATCGCTGCGACAGAGAAGGATCATGGTCACCTATCTCCTGGCCAATGACTTCTCAGAACAATATTTTGGCGTCTTAAATCTTTGTTCCCCCTTGTTGCACAGTCGATCTGCGGGCAGTTGATTTGTTTTCGAATTGTTCTCAAGCCAACCGCTATACGGTTCTCATCAGATTTTACTTTGTTTTGTGTATCATCGTTTTCAAATCGAATAGGTACACTGATGACCTGGGAAGAGCTCGTGAAGGCTCGTGAGCGACTCGTCTTTATACTCGCAACCTTGGCTGTCCCTGATTTCAAATCTGTCCTCGTTGCAAGTGGGGCAGCTGCTGTTCAATATCGACTGAAAGAAAGTGTACATATTAGTCTGTACTTCTTTCGCTTTGTCTCGAAACGCATTGTAATTAAGGGATACAACAGTGGTATGTACTTGTATGGATATCTGTCTACCTAATCTCGTCACAATGAGTCGTAACTAGAGGTAGATCAAAGGGACAACATGTAGTTTTGAAAGAAACCCGGATTATAATAAGTTAAGAACAAGATCAACCCCATTCATCTGGGACAAAAGGTGTCACCAAATCGTATGTCTCTTCGTTGCCTCCACGTCCTTTTTTGCTCGATTTACTACCCCTCCCAATAACCTTTTTAAATAGCCCGCTCATCCCACTCCTTTCAGCAGGCGCCGTACCACCATCGAACTCATCTGGATAACATATCTCTAACATCTTTGCAAATTTCCGCATCCCGCTGGAACTGTCGTTGAAATACCTTCTAGACTCATCCAGTGCGGCTTGGAGATAAAGTGTAAGGTTTGGGAAAGAAATAGGAAGAATGGGGAATGGGACGGATGCAGTGGAAGGGATATTGTAGGTTTTTGATATTGGAGAGTCGGAGCCGTCGCGAAGGAGTGCTGGGAGTTTCATTTGAGAATACGAAAACGGAAGGCCATCCACATTCGATGTGGAACTTCTCCGGAGTATAGGCCGTTCTGCGTCCTGGTCAATAGTAAACCAAAGCACAGTCCTCCAAGTAGGCGAGTCGTAATGTGGCTGTCGCGCGACGATCAGCAAAAAAAAACTCATCTAGCGTAGCATCGCGAAGGTACTCACTCTCACAAACTGAATAACTGTACGAAGATGGAGGTCTACACCCCGTTGCGTAGCTTGTGGGGTGGGTTCCAAACGTGTCCCAGATAGTCTTGCCATAAGTTTCAGCAAGTGTCGCCAGCTGGTGGCTTGGAGGTGCAACGGAGGGGATTTACCATATGGTAAACTGACAATGTTGGGCATAACACCTGGCATAGGCTGTGGCTGATCCTGCACAACAGGATCATAGAATCCAATTGCTAAACGACGATATTCCAGTAAGGGTAAAGGATGTGAAGAATGAGGACTTACAAACACCAC